AATTGTCTGTTGCTCCAAAGATCACTGAAGGCACAGAGAATGGAGGGGGGAATCTCTACGGAGAGCAGTGAGTCAGTCAGTCACCACTCTCCACTGAAAGATCATGAGCAATCACATGATCGCTCAGTTCTTGGTATGGAGCCAGCAACAGCTCGAACCTGCAGAAAGACTATATTTTACTCTCCTCTCACATCTCCATTAGGGCAGGTTCTCACTATGTCCGCTCAGGTGGTGTGGGGTTAAAAAAAAGTACGGCATGCGGTACAACCGCATCGCACTGAGGTGAGCCCATAGAACTGAATGAAATGTCACTTCTCATGCAACACACACATCGGCACTGTTCAGAGAAACGCACACCAGCAGCCATGCAGTTGAGCGCAGCTGCTGCTGTGAGCGTACCCTTAAAGTGAAGGGCCTTTGGCACCCAATAACAGGCAAAGAAAGGTACAGATTACCAAGTATGTGGTATAAAAAAATATATATATGAATACATAAGCTTTTTAATTGAGTGCTTTTTTTTGGGGACTAAAATCTTCTAGCCATTGTAAATATATACTTAATAGGTTTATTCCTATGATAGGAAGTAAGAACAGGCTTAGAAAGTTCATGCCATACCACATTTGCTTACCTGCCACACACCCACAATGGCGTTTGCTACTAAAATAAGTAAAATTACAAAAGGTTCTACAAAGGCTGTGATTGTTTCTTCACCTTCCTCAAACCATGCCAACACCTGAAATAAAGACAGAGAAGAAGATAAGCAGAAATCCAGAGCACAGCAGACACACAAGCTTTTCAGGCTTTGGCATTTGTTGGCACTGTTTAAACTATGAGAAATTTATGACACTGCTAGTGCCCCTTTTGTTCTGCATTAGATCTTCAGATCTTACAAGTAGGATCCAACATTTACAGGAGGTGAAATCATTAACGTAATATTTTTATACAGAGCAGAGCTGTCAGAGGGCACCGAACAATCAGGGAAATCTCATTACAAATCAGTTGGAACACATTAGGAGTAAACAACTATACTATGCTTACACAAGACTACCAGGCTTTTTACCACTTACATTATATATGCAATTCAACAACTGTTTAACTAGAGGAACAAGACATTTCGAAAAAGACAACAAAAAAAACAACCCACATTTAGTGTAGCAATCACAGCATAATTCCAGTTTGGTTTTTAATTATTGAACAGAATGGGGAAGAGTTAGAACTCCTACCAAGTTATTATTGCTGTGAATCTATTAAGGAAACTTCCCTCATCTATTCCTTCAACATCAGAGATAGAGAGATATTTCTCCTCAACTTCCTGTCCCTTTGACTGGGACAGAAAACAAGAGGGGCGGAGATCAATGAAAAGCAAACATATTCCCTGAGTTGGACTTTGATATAACATGGTGATGCATGACAGACCATGGATGTGTTTTTTTTGTAACTTCCCAGCAGACAAAATAAACCTACTTTCTTTTATTTGTAAAGTGACATGAAAAATGCTTTTTGTTGTTTGCTACATACACAGTATGTAACAGTTCACATCTGGTTATACGATCTCTATAAACATGGATAAAGCCTTCCGAGTAGAATCGTCTAAAGGATATACATGCATACATACTCAGGGTAGTTGGTTTGTTTCTTACCCTGTGCATACTTTTTTTTGCACTTACAATAATTATTCTTATGCCACTGCATTAACCATGTCTATAGACTATACTATTTCTCCATTCAGTTACCACTAGATTAATCCACATTCAACAGCAGTGTATGTATGTAAATTAACCCATAAAAAAGCACACCTAAACTGGACAATCTAGCAGATTAGACAATTACAAATCTAAAACTATTACAAGAAAGTTCCTTGTTTACAGATGTAAAAGTCAATTTTGTTGTAACCAGAGTTTAAAATCTCATGTACATTTTATGAATTGATCAGGAGGCAGTTCCATCCACTTACAATCACAAGAGGAAAGGCATTACGGAGCATTAGAGACGCTCAATATGTTATATTTTTGAGGAGACAAATAAGTGATACAATGTGCTATAATATCCATATGAAAGCACACCATGAACATAAGGATTTCTGACTCCACCTCTACATTTAAACGCTGCCATTGACTCGGGAATGTGGCATTTTTGAACACACAGAATTTGTAAAAGCAGGGTAAAAAAACAACAACTTAGGTTTAAGGACATTGTACATTGTATCAGATGTTACCTCCTAACAGCACATTAGGTTTGTGCAATACTCATTTCCTAGATAGAACTTTATTTTAGGCATTGATCCCAGACAAACAATTCCGGCGTAGACCTACTTTATCTTATCCTATTAAAAAAACCGGACCACCGGTGACCTAGCAGCCAATGACGTCAGGCAGGGCCGGCTGCTACAAGCACAAGTGATCTGGGCAGCTGTAGTGCAAAAAAAAGGTCCCTTTAACAAAATGCACTGAGCGAAGTCCAATATCGAGGATCAAAAACCACAAAACATGACGATCCTGTGTTAGTACAAGGTTAGCTCTGCTACACTATTAAAGTAGAGGTGCACCGAAATGGAAATTTTAAAAACCGAAATAAAATTAAAAATGGTCAGGCCAAAACCGAAAGTTTATTTTAATTTCTTCAATTTTTTAAATATTTTTTTTATAAACTTTAATTTTTGTATATTTATTTTTAATTAATTTTGTATTAAATATTTTGTTTACTTTATTTTTAGGGGCTTCGGGGAATATTAGAGGTCTAAACAGACATCTGATATTTCCCTTTTAAAATAGAAAAAAAGAGATTGTGAACACAGAGTCCTCAATCTCTTTTTCTGTATCCCCTGTTATCAGTGAACAGGAATCCTCTATACTGAGTGAGTGTTCCTGTTCATTCATAACATGAGGACAGAGTATGCTTACTACAACCGCAATCTTGAATGAACAGGAGGTGATGTAGATCTCTTATTCATAATTGAGGATACAGTAAACATACCATGCCCTCAATTATCCACAAACACTCAGCGACCACTGATCACTGAGTGTTTGTACCTCGCTCTCCTCTCTGACACGCCGTCACAGGAGGCTGGGCGGTGCAGGGAGGAGAGCTCAGCCTCCTGTGACAGCGTTGGCTGTCTCCGCCCACACACCGCTCTGCCGGACTGTGATAGGAGGCTGAGCGGTGTGGGAGGAGAGACGCCGGCCGCTCACAGCGCTCTCCACCTGCAGTGCTCGGCCGGCTATCACACTTTCTTTCCTCCCCGCAGGGACACAGAGCAACGCCCAGCGGGGACGAAAGAAACCAGGGATGAGCCGCTGTATCAGCAGGAAAATGGCACTTTCGGCATTTAGCCAAAAGTGCCATTTTCGCCCGATATGTTTCGGCGGCCTGGTACTGATTAGGGCTGGTACTGATTAAGATTTTCGTGTTCGATTAATCAAATTTTTTTTTATTCGATTAATTATAACGCACATACAGATCCAACTACATTGGCCTATATACATACAGCACAGCAATGAAGTAATAAAATGAACTAGGATCACACTAATCCAGCACGTTATTAATCTCACGTGCCCCACTCAATATGGCCGCCGCTTGAGTGGGGCAACTCAGAATAACGTGCTGGATTAGTGTGATCCTAGATAATTTTATTACTTCATTGCTGTCCTGTATTTGTATAGCTCAATGCCTTGGCTGGCGCTCGTGCAGAAAGTTTCTTGGGCAAACTCACCGGCCCAAGTGGCTCCGTCGGCTAACGAAGGCAAGGGGGGAGGAGTCCGGTGACATCACGGACATAGACAAGTTTAATGATTAATCGAGAAATTAATTGTTAATTTCCACAGCCCTACTATTAATATCTCTTTATTTACCTTAACAGCTACACAGGTTGCAAGGAATCAACCCAAAGTGTTTGCAGGCAAGCAAATAACACAACAAAAGTTTCCATCTTACATAAGTGCTTGCAAAACATAAGTAATTAAAGCTGGCCATACACTTTAAAAGAAAATAAAAAAAATTATTGTTCAGTGGGTGGCCCTGTCAGTAGCCTCCCGTCTGACATCTTTCAATCAGAAAATCAAAGAAGCTCGGCGGAAAATTCTTACCCCAACAGTGACTGCAGTTAATCAGCTGCGTTCACTGTTCGGATATTTTGACAGTGGCACACCTGCCAGTCTGCATAAAATACTGGTAGTGGGAGATTCACGCATCCATGCAGTTTAGTATGGATGGAGGAATCTGGTTGATTTCTTTCAGTGATTCACAAGACATTTTTGGTGAAACCTAGGGTAAATACAGGGCACTGAGAATCAAACAACTGACCTGGGGAGACTACCATTTCTATTACATGGAGACCTACTGAAATGGAAGGAGTTTGGCGCACTTCCTTTCATCCTTGTCGATACAGCCATGTAAAACTATACCGCTTTGAAACATATGGTATATTGGGTGAAGGAGGGTTCTTAAAAGAGTGAGATCATTCAGTTCTGACTGATCAGATCCTGATAACCCACCCGGAATTTAGCCAACTTTGAGGATATAAAACGCTGTGTAAGCCTATATTCCAAACCAAAGCAAGAGTACTGCAAAATAATGTTTGCCTAGAGGAGCCCAAAATGCCCCCCC